TGACTAAGTAGCCTAGTGGTAGAGTGTCTGCCCTGAGATCGGGAGATCAGGGGTTCGACTCCTGGTTGGGTCATACCAAAGATTTTGAGAAAAATGGGACCCAATGCCTCCCTGCTTGACACTCAGCATTGGATTGGGGTTGGATTGGGGGGTTAAACCACCAAATAGTTCCCGAGCGCGGCGTGTCTGCAACTCAGGGGATGGGTCAAAATCGGAGAATAAATTTCACCACACACCTGTGTGTGTGACGACTAAATGGGACTTTACAAACTACTGCCAGCTGCGCCCTCTCTGTGTGACTTTGGTACTGCATGTTACTTCCGCGATTTAGATCCGGGGCTTATCATGAAAGATCCGGGGCTTCAGCCCAAGTAGCCGGGCCTAACGCCGCCCCTGGATCATATCTCTCCTGTCTTAGCTTCCCTACATTGGCTACCTGTTAAATTCAGAATAGATTTTAAGATCCTCCTTCTCACATATAAAGCTCTTAATAATCAAGCTCCATCATACATCAGTGTGTTGTGCAACCAAAGAAACAGGCAGATTCAACATGAAGTTAACAATCTTTATTTTGCCAGTGGTTTAAAGTTACTGACACAGCCTCCTGCTAGGATTACAAGGGTACTTCAGCTTGGACCAGAATTAAACCCACCACACAGGAGAAAACACCTGTGACTCAGGTTCCCATGAACATAATGGTACACCACCGGTAATGTTAAATAAGGCAGCAATTCACAGTGCTGCAAACGAGCAGGCCTGGTGCAGAAATATACCCTTGACTAATTCGCAGTGGCAGTTCAGCAAAGGTAATGTAGAAGGTGACCAAACAAGCAATATAAATAGGAGTAATTGTTAGTCCGCCCTTACAATTTCCCCAACTGCTTTAGGACAATAAAAGCTACATGGGGCAGACTAACAATTACAAAAGAAATAAACAAACAAACAACCAAACAAGGACAGCAGATAGCAATGAATTACTGTAAAAACAGAAATACACAATTACATTCAAGCCCTAAAATTTACCAATGTTTAATATATCCACTAAAAACAAACCTAAAACATTGTACCTGTGTCTTGCAAACACCTCACACACTGCTCCTTTCAGTCAGTGTCTCATCTGGCCGTCTGACCTTAAAACTCTGACCCTGTCAGCAGATCATACCATAAAAGTCAATATCCATGCTACATTAAAAAGATCTACAACAAAGTCAAAGTGGACTTACACAACAAATTGCCACACAGACAAACTTCATGGGACCAGCCACGCCGTGGCCTCCCACAGGAAACTGGCACACCTTACTGGCAGCTAGCTAGTTTCTTTTAAAAGGTTCTCACCTACAGGGCTACAGTGACACCTTGTGGTGCCACCTGTTACAAGTGGCCTGATTGTTCCATATGTTCATAACAGCACTTCGCTCTCAGACTGCAGGTTTACTGGTGGTTCCCAGAATATCTAAAAATAGGATGGGAGGCAGATCTTTTAGCTATCAGGCTCCTCTCTTGTGAAACTAGCTCCCAGATTTAGTCTGTGAGGCAGACACCTTGTCTACTTTTAAGACTAGGCTTAAAACATTTTTATTTGATAGGGCCTATGATTAAAATCTGTTGTTACCCCAGATCTGGACAAGTGGGGGAGTAGAGGGAGGTGGAGTGTACAGTCAGTAAAGACGGCTCTCCATTGTCCTGCCTCCAACATGCTTCTATCGAAAAGGCTAGGTTATCCAGAGTTATCTCTGTAGTTATGCTGCTATAGGCTTAGACTGCTGGAGGATACTCTGACCACTTTCCACACTCGACTACTTTCTTCTACAATCTGCTCTTTAACTGTATTATTTCCTGCTATTTCAGCTGTTAACTTTATTTTTTCTCTAAGTGTTTTTCTCCCCAGAAGAAGCTACAATGATGTTCTGCTGAGCTGTGGTAGCCTCATGGAGGGGGCCATCGGCTAGCACACTGCTGCTAACCACTTAAACTTTCTCCCTCTCCTGATAATAACATTAACTTTCCTTGACATTGAATGTGCTACTACTAGTTTACCTGTTTAATTATAGATCCACTAGGATAAATACAATAAAGTTTATCTCTCACCAAATAGAATATTTACTAAGAAATCACAATGTAACCATAGAAACACTACTTGGTGTGTGTGTGTGTGTGTGTGTGTGTGTGTGTGTGTGTGTGTGTGTGTGTGTGTGTGTGTGTGTGTGTGTGTGTGTGTGTGTGTGTGTGTGTGTGTGTGTGTGTGTGTGTGTGTGTGTGTGTCTGCTCTGTCTTCTCGATCCCCAGTGAGTTGTGGAGGATGGCTGCTTATACTGAGCCAGGATCCTCTGGAGGTTTCTTCCTGTTAAAAGGGAGTTTTCCTCTTCACTGTCGCTAAATGCTTGCTTAGTATGAGGATTGCTGTAAAGACACTGACTCGATGCAACCTGCTGGGTTCTTTATATAGGAAACTTTTCACTGATTTGCTTAATGACCTGACCTATATTGGAATGTTTACTGTGTGAAGTGCCTTGAGATGACTCTTGCCATGATTGGGCGCTATATAAATAAACTTGAATTGAATTGCCAGTTAGCATGAACAAGCATTGGTGGTTAGCTCCAGTAAATGCCTCAGTCTCACGTTAATAGTGACTGGCCATTTTGACTCTCTGAACTGTAGTCGTATCCTCTGCTTGTTCGTGTTTGGAAGGTAAGCATGGAATTATTAGACGAAGATTATCTCCAACCAATGCAGAGGAGCGGAGTGTGGACTGATGCGGCCATGCGCCCAGCTCCAATCGCTGCAGTCTGAGGCTGTGCTTGTACTTTAAGTTAATGTTATCTTCTAGCTCTGTGTTTGTGCTCTGTTGTTAGCTCTGGGTTTGCTCAGATAGCTTGTAGCTACAGTGGGTACAGAAAGTCTTCAGACCACAGTCGATTTTTCATTATTTTTATATTACAGCCATTCGCTAAAATCATTTAAATTAATTTATTCCTCATTAATGTACATACAGCACCCCATATGGACAGAGAAAAGACCAACTGAAATATCACATGGTCCTAAAGCCTGATTTATGCTTCTCCATCTGCGTCAGTGCGGAGACACGCAACACCATTATCCGTCCTTGCGTAGGGCTCCGGCAGGCATGCAGTACGTACGGAGTCGAGCCCACTTTTTTAAACATCCGTCGAACGAGACGGGTCAGGATGCCGCTGTTGTTTACAGCTCCGCCATTGCAAAGTGAGCCGAGGATAACTAGCGGCAGACACGGAGAAGCTTGAAAAATACCTCGCGAAGAAACTCTAAAAATATGAACGTTTCATCCTCCCGTGACTGGAGGAGTGTAAAGATGCGCAGCAAGCATTTTATTTGTGGACGGAAATGACAGGAAACGTGGGTTTAGAGGTGGGGAGCACATGAAGCGGTGGGAGAATGAGAGACAAATATGTCCGTGTTAAAAGTCTCTTATATACACAAAAAACACAATATAAACACACGATCTTGGCCGGATACATGACAGGATACCACAGAACAGCGCTACGCCCTCTGTGGTCCTGCCGGGCAATTGCTTTGCAACACTCTCCAGGAGACGGAGAAGTAAAAGAGCAAAACGCTTCTGTCAATCCGTGCGTGTCTGTCCCTTGCGGAGCTGACGGAGAAGCATGAACCAGGCTTAAGTATTCAGAACCTTTGCTGTAACACTCATATTTCTTCTGATCATCCTTCAGATGGTCCTACACCTTCATTGAGTCCAGCCATGCTTGATTATACTGACTGGACTTGATTAGGAAAGCCACACCTGTCTATAAGACCTTACAGCTCACAATGCATGTCAGAGCAAATGAGAGTAATGGGGTCTAAGGAACTGCCTGAAGAGCTCAGAGACAGAATTGTGGCAAGGCACAGATCTGACCATGGTTACAAAAACACCTCTGCTGCACTCATGGTCCTTAAGAGCCCAGTGACCTCCATAATCCTTAAATGGAAGATGTTTGAGATGACCAGAACCCTTCTTAGAGAAGGCCGTCCGGCCAAACTGAGCTACCAGGGAAGAGGAGCCTTGATGAGAGCGGTCAAGAAGAACCCAAAGATCACTCTGGCTGAGCTCCATAGATGCAGTCAGGAGATGGGAGAAAGTTGTAGAAAGTCAACCATCACTGCAGCCCTCCACCAGTCAGGGCTTTATGGCAAAGTGGTCCGTCTGTTCTTGAATGACCCAGCCAGAGCCCTGACTTAAACCCAACTGAGTATATTTGGAGAGACCTAAAGTTGGATGTCCACCAACGTTGACCATCCAACCTGACAGACCTGGAGAGGATCTACAATGAGGAATGGCAGATCCCCAAATCCAGGAGTAAGAAACTTGTTGCATCTTTACCAAGAAGACACACGGCTGTGCTAGCTCAAAGGGTGCTGCACTTAGATTCTGAGCTAAGGGTCTGAACACTCAGGACCATGTGATATTTCTGTTTGTCTTTAATACTTCTGCATACATTTCTAGAATTCTGTGATTTTCTGTCCATATGGGGTGCTGTGTGTTCGTTAATAATGAAAAGTATGAATTTAGTTTATTTCAGCACATGACTACAAATAAAGAGTGATGGGGGTCTGAATACTGTCAGTATACTCTCACTGTACCTCTGTTTGCATCTAGCTTCTTTTTAGCTTCAGATTAGCTTAGCTAGCTTGTAGATACTTCATTTAGAGTATGATCGGTGTTAATCGTTTGCTCCCACTCTCAGCTCCACCTTTTGGCCCTTATTTGTATTTGGCAGTAGTGACGACAGGAGTTAAACAGCCAAGGTGGGCAGTGCCCACTCTGCATTCAGGCTGTTTTCAGTACATTAAATTAGAAACAGGTGGGAAAGGCTTGAATATTTTCCCTCCAGCTGCTTCAGTGAGTGTATTAAAGCTGTTTATTTGTATGTAAGTTGGTGAGTGCAACCCTATCCCTCGGGAGTACATTCAGTTTCACAACAATGTCTAAGCACCTCAAACATGATGTCTTGGTGACATGTAGGAGGAAACAACACCTTACCTACAACACTGAGACCTGTCACTCAGACATCCCCACCAGCAGCTGGACCGATGATTCCAACATACCCACTCCCACTTGCAGGTTATTGTCTTCTTTTTAACAAATACTCAGGTTTGCAAAGGGAGCTACGGTTCAAATAAAAGGATTTTCTGTTTAGATGAATGTTGGGTTCCTCTGGGCATCCAGACACTTCCAGCTTCCAGCTTCAAGGCCTCATCTCATCAGAAAGGCCATCCTCCTGAAGCAGCTCGTCTCCATAGGTGGGATCCTCTTCAGGACCTCCAGGTACTCCAGATTTAACGACAGCGCTTCAACACTAAACATGTTATTATGGGTCTCACTAAATCCTGCTCCTCACTGATGTGAGGATTTTGGAAGGATAATATCTTATCTTCAGTGGAAATGTCCAAATGTCTCAATCAGTTTGGAAAACCAGGGAGAAGTTTTTCTAGAGAGTGGACGCGAACGCTCGGTCAGAAGCAGTCCCTGTCCACCACCATTACCTGTAGTTCTCCATGTGGTCGAGTCCGATGGAGAAGTGAGGCAAGGTGGTGTCAGTGAGAAATAAATTCAATAGCTTTTGTTTCAGGCCACAATAGAATCATTATTAATGTACATTACTCTAAAGCTCTTCCTGCTCCATGTCCACACAAGTCAAAGAGGAAGTATGCCATTGTTGGTAACTTGGTGAGGAAGTTAAAGCGCTACAAAACAAAACAAACAATGTTAGGTAAATTTCCTTACTAACGTCCACCAAAGAACTCAGACTGAGAACTCTGTTGAGTATTTTGGATCACACTTTCTGCGGAAAGGGAAGGCAGACGGAACACACAGCGGCGTGTGTGAGTCTCCAAGCTGACTCCAGATCTTCCATCTTCCAGCATAGTGTAATGACATGGCTGGGGTTGTGAGCCAGGTGCATTCTGGGTGTTGTGTTATATGTGTTTCCTAACATTCTGCTACTTTCCATGTGTTGATTTGAGTGTTATGTTAATGTAAGCCACAGGGAAGGTGATGTGTGGTCTGTGGAGCGGGTTGAATTAGCGTGGTTAACTGACACCGTGACTCTGTGTGGTAGGAGCGTGATAGAAGTTCGGTGTCTGTAGCGTTACAAAGGGGGAAGAAGAAGCCTAATAAAGGTCTGGTGTGAACCACTACTGCCTCCTGCTGGTTGAGTTGGGGACTGCCGCTGATACGCTCGGGGTCACTACAATATTTTTATTCACACATGGGCATAGTCACACAGTTGCACAAACATTTGTCTTTGTTACAGGACGCCAGAAGATCCTTTAGGTGCAGCAGACGGACGTGGAGATGGGGTTTTCTTCCACAAGCACTACATTTTTCTGCAAATTGGCGCTTTAGGCTGCGAAGGCTGTTATTAAACCAGGGAGTAGGGTTCACTGCAGGAACTGATCTGGTTCTGACAGGACAGATGTTGTCCAGAATGGCGAGGCAGCACACCTTCTTATAGAGTGAAGCTGACCTAACACAAGAAGCTCTGTTTTGGCAGTTTTTCTGACTTCACCTGTTGGCTCTCCATCATGTGTATGGCTCTGTGAGGCTGTGAGGGAGCAGCTTCCCCACTTCTCCTTCAGCCCACATTGTGCCATCTTTTGCCATCTCATAGGTGAGATCTTTCTGTCTGGTCTGTGTCTCCAGCCGACCTTTATCTTTGGAGGAGTTCTGCTCTCTAACCCAAAACTTGTCTCATCAACTGAAGACATGTCAGAGTCCAGGCCTTCTTGCAGATGAAAGGATTCTTCCCCTCCCATCTGAGTCACAAGAGTCCATATTTTGCAGCCGAGCCAAAGCCTCAGCAGCAGTAACCTCTAGGCATCGTCATATCTCGTTCCTACCAGTAAAACGTTCTGGAAGATTATGAATGCATGCAGTAACCTGTCTTTTATCCCCAAGTTTAGCTTGTCATCACATCCCCACCCACAGACCAACTCACCAAGCCCATGTGTGAAGTACTTTATGCACAAGTAGGGGGTGGGGGGACAGATTCTCCTACATGCAGGATATAATGAGAGAGCATGCAGGCATCGGCAAAAGGGGATTTTTGTGGTTTTAGCCTTTGTAGCCTGTGTTTCATCCACAACTTGTGTGCTCATCTGAAGTCTACACAAAAGTAGTCAGTCAAAAATTATTTAGGGTGGGCAAGTTCAGTTGGCCAGATTCAACAGGTGATCTGAGAAAGCATTACTGTTTTCTTAGAACAACAAACCTTCAAATGCGCCGGCCTTTTGTGAATATTTTGTATTGCAACTCAGACAATTTAACCCCCAGAGACCCAAATTTAGAAAACAACTGCAAAATCTTTTTTTAACCTTTCACATGTTGTTCTAGGAGGCCAGATAAACGGGCCTATTTACACATTTTAACAGCCAATAGTGTTGCAGAACTGAACAATAGGACCTATTGGCAATGTAAATGTGGTTTTAAAAAGAAAAAAAATGGGGAAGGTTTATTTTTGTAGACTTAAATCTGATCTTGTAATATTACAACCGTGGGTCTCTGGGGGTTAAGAGGAGTCATGCAAGGTTCATAACAGCTGTAATTAAGCTGCTTTTCAGGTGTTGAGAACAAGCCAGACTGATGAAAAGGCTTCAGCTAAATCTGAATAGAATTTTTTTTCTGGTTACCTGGCTGCAATCGCATGTAAGCAATGAATGCCGCGTTTATAAAACACACCATTGCAGTAATATTACGCTGATTTGCTGGCACAGTGTGTCTTATTAAAAGGGCTAAAGACGCAAACAAAATGAGGCCAACCTAAGTGACGAAGAATTTTCATGGTCCCCACCATTTCTCTTCATTCCAATGGCTCTGCACAGACAATGGCTGCATTTACAAATGAAAGGCAGATAATTGTCTGTGCTTTAGCTGTGATTTTCAAACCATGGAGCCCTTTGGCTTACCTCTGGTAGAGCTGAGGGAATCATAAAATTCTGGTAGTTTAACACCCACACTTTTTCTAATGAGGAGGGTTTTTCTACCTTTATCTTACCAAATATTTGAGAACATGTTGTCATTTACAAACATGACCTGGCCAAGAGGTCTTGGAAGGAAGTGCAAGAAATATATATATTACTACTACTAATAAATAAATAAATAAACACAACAACAAACAGATAAGCACATAACAGATCACACATAGGTTATTAACAGGCATTAGAAACATTTGAATGTGGGTCTGAAAACTAAAAGAACATATACACATGCATGCAGGAGAATCATTACATCATACAGGGAACTGAGGCCTAGTCCACAGGTAGCCGGGTTTTTTTTAAAAACGAAGAAACTTGCATCCACCTCTTTTAAAAAAACAAACTCTGTCCACACGTACCCGGATAAATACGTTGTTAAGGACATGCCAGACCTGTAGGCGGCAGTACTTCCCCCGTTCTTAACCTCGTCCTTCATCTGTGGTCTTCCGCAAGGAGCAGTAATTCCGCTTGCAAAAACAAACGAGCAGAAAGCGCTTGGACAATTGATAAAGTGAGCGCAGCTCTGAGGGCATCCATGCTGTCGGCTAGTGTAAACACAGGTCGCACACGTGATGTCAGCATTTTTTTGTCGCGGAAAGTGACGTTGCAGACCTTAAAACTCCGGTTTTATCTGTCCACACGCAGACACCCAAAACGGAGAAAACGCAGATCTTCACTTTGGCCGGAGTTTTTAAAAAGATCCGTTTTCGCGTGAAAAAACTCTGTTTTCGTGTGGATGACAGACCAAAACGTAGAAAAATATCTACGTTTTGGCAGATCCCCAGCTACGTGTGGACAGGGCCTGAGTGTGTGTGTGTGTGTGTGTGTGTGTGTGTGTGTGTGTGCGTGCGTGCGTGCGTGCGTGCGTGCGTGCGTGCGTGTGTGTGTGTGTGTGTGTGTGTGTATGAGTGTATGAGTGTATGTAAATAAGTGTGATCTAGGTGATCAGCAAGAGCTGTGTCACACCCTGTCCTGTCTCCCCGTTTGGTTCAGCCTTGTGTCTCGTTAATTGCTCCCACCTGCCTCTCGTTTTTCCAATCACTCTAGCTCCCGGCCCTCTTGTATTTAAGCCCCTTCTGTTCTGTGTCTTGTGTCGGTTCATTGTTTCATTGTCCAGCGCATCTCCTAATAAATAAGTGTTAAGAATTCCTATCTGTCTACCTGTCTTCCACCCCACGTCTGGATCCTCGCTTCACCTCCGCTCACCTCGCCCACACGCCGTGACAAGCAGCAGTCAGTTATAATCTGGAGAGATATTTAGATCTAAAGGTTGTAATAGGTGTCAAAGTGTCAAGTTTATGGGTGTTTTGTAAATTGTTCCAGTCAAAGTGGAAGGATTTGAGGCAAAATACTGTAGAGGTGTGGATGATGAGCTGAATATGTTCACTAGACATAATGTAATATTTATTATGGGTGAGGTGAAGAAGTGAGGACAGATAGACAGGTGTCTTGCCTAGAATTGCCTTGTAGACAAAAAGAAGCCAGCAATGGAGTCTCCGGGTGTGAAGGGAGGGCCAGCCCACCAGTTTATAGAGATCAGAGTGGTGAGTGTGGAAGGGGGCATTAGTGACAAAACGGATGGCTGAGTGATAAAGAATGTCCAGCTTTTTGAGGGCAGAGCATGAAGCCATTTTGTAGATGATGTCACCGTAGTCCAGAATTGGTACTATTGTCATTTTAACAAAAATGTGTTTGGCAGCATGAGTGAAGGATGCTTTGTTACAAAAAAAAAGCTAATCTTGCTTTGATTTTTGTTTGCAGATTGTTGATATGAGTGGTGAAAGAAAAAGATTATCCAGCCAGAGATTTGTAGGTTGTAACATAATCCAGGGCTGAGCTATCAGCACAGCAGATATTTGGGGGATTGGATGTTTGGTTTTTCCTATCAGAGATGATGCATTTGGTCTTCTTTGTATTAAGACAGAGATGGAGGTTGTGAAAGGACTGTTCAACAGAGGTGAGGCTGAGCTGAAGAGTAGATGCTGCAGAGTTGAGAGAAGGACCAACTGAGTACAGAATGGTGTCATCAGCATACAGGTGGATCTGAGTACTACCGGCGGTTTTAGCAACATCATTAACGTAGATAGAAAATAAAGTTGGGCTCAAGATGAAGCCCTGAGGCACACCTCTAGAAATAGTAAGTGGTTCTGTCAAGATGTTTTCAGTCCTCAGCTGCTGGACACAATTGGTGAGATTGCTGGCAAACCAATCACAGCAAGAGGGGGACAGTCCAACACTAGAAAGTCTGTGTAACAGGATACTGTGGTTTACTGAGTTGAAGGCCTTAGCCGG